CAAGATAGGGGTTCCCATTTGAAAAAAAAAAGTTAGGGTCCGCCCCCCCTCAGGGGGGGCGCCCCCCAAAATTTTGGGTACGCTAAAAAGTAGTTCCCTTTGACCTAGGATCATTCCCTAAATTTCAAATCTCTAGCATTTTTTGTTCAAAAGTTATAAGGGGGGTCCCAGACTTCTGGATAACCCTGTATTTCAGAGCGGTAATAATCTTCTTTCATTGTTTGTGCACATGAGTGGCCCTATTTTGTGGCTTTCCAATCACCAGGACATTTATGATTGTAGGGTTTCTAAACTCATTCATCTCATTATTTTTAGGTAGAAAAATGGGAATTCGTTTTAGTTGATATTTAATTAATTAATTAATTTATTTATTTATTTATTATTTTTTTGTTTGATGAGTACTAGTAAATTTTTCTATTGTACTTCTGCACAACTATCAGTGTTACTTTCTTTATTTTGTTCAGTAATTTTCACTATGTGATATGAAATTTTTGCAGGCTCGTTCAGGTGATTTTGGCAACATTGCTTTTTTCGCAAGTGCCAATGTTCAATTCCTTTTAAGACCTGGTTGCACATTGCAAATTGATGCAACATATAAGATTGTTCCTCGGACGCTCGATTTTAAGCAGTTACTAACTAGACTGTAACTTTTAAACTTCATTTTTTTCCAGGTTGTGGGCACTACTTATTCCTAAACACGTTCTTGTGATAGCATTTCTGGTTATCGTTCTAGATGTATAATCGGATGGTCCATATAATTTCTGATTATCGTTTTAGGTGTATAATCGGATGGTCCATGTACCTGTTCATCGAAATGTCAAGATCGCACCACGCACTATGGACAGAGTACAAATAGTTGTGGAAGGAATATATGATAAATATCCCCTGCCAAATATCAGCGACCTATTGGATAAAATAGGCAGGTGTAATTACTTCACCACCCTAGACCTCGCCTCCGGGTTTCACCAAATTAAAGTGGACCCTGACTCCATCGCCAAAACGGCCTTCTCCACCGAAAATGGCCATTACGAGTACGTACGGATGCCATTCGGGCTAATCAACGCTCCTTCCACGTTCCAAAGAGCCATGGACCACATTTTGCGTGGACTACAAAACCGGTTTTGCTTAGTTTATATGGACGACATCATCATATTTAGCACCTCGCTCCAAGAACATCAACAACACCTACGACAAGTATTCGACCGCTTACGCAAATTCAATCTAAAAATCCAAGTGGACAAATCGGAATATTTGCGTAAAGAAGTCGAATACCAAGGACACGTCGTCACTACCGAGGGAGTCAAACCTAACCCAAAAAAGGTTCACGCGATCAAAAACTACCCCATACCCGATACAGTCTCCAAAATCAAAGGCTTTCTTGGTTTAATCGGATATTATAGGAAGTTCATTGCCAATTTCGCCCAGCTTACTAAACCATTGACCGTGTGTTTGAAAAAAGGGGCCCAAATAAACATAAATGACCCAGCGTTTATTAATTGCTTCAATACTTGTAAAGAAATCCTGTCTAATGACCCAATACTCCAATATCCAGATTTCAATAAGCCCTTATTCTCACCACCGATGCAAGTAACGTGGCCATAGGTTCCACCCAATCACAAGGGAAAATGGTGGGGGGAAATGCTGGGTATCTTCCTAACTCAAGAACACATCACGCTGAGTTGCCCTCACCACTCAGAGGAACATGACCTCACCGGCATCTACCTTCTGAACCCAGGACACTGCAGCCTATCCTTCAGGAACAGAACCATCCCACGGACGCTGACGTTCGAAACGAAACTTCTGTACTTTCAAAACCCGATGCTGCTGATTGAATCACCGCCCAACCTGACGACATCATTTCATTTCACCCAACTCTCAAAGGATCCCGAGCTGAACGACATTCCTCCGGCTGCCTTGGAGATCGACTTCCTGGAGAGCCACAAGTCTCATTTCTGGGCTTATACCTGCATCCTTTTACTTATACTTACTGTTTTAATATATTTTATTGTAAAATGCTACTTCGCTTCCCGAAGATGGCGCGCTTTATTAACCTTTAATACTACACCTGCTACTGCTACGGAAAACGTAGATAATACCCAAGAACAAGAGTTGAATCTCCTTCCTCCGAACCTTGCTACCCTACATCCGCTCCCTCATGTAGGCTTTCACGCGGTTCCTCAGTCTTAGGGGGGGAGATGTTATAGATCCTCCTCAGCCCGCTCCACTTTTCCTTCCCCGCCGCCTACCGGCTCCAACATTCCCGACGCGTGTCGCCGTCCGGCCGCGGTCATTTACATTTTTACTTCCATCTCATATCTTTATCACATTGACCTCGCCTCTCGCCTCATTATCAGCAATTCATATGCGCCCAGCTCTGTTCCCCAAAATCTAGTCGCCACTCGCTACGTTCCAAATCTCACGTAGCCTTTGCCACCGTGAGATTAGTCACGTAGGCACTTTTACAAATACTCACTCCACCTTCGAGCCCCTGCTCAGTCTTTCCTCAACTTCGCAGGTGATCATAGCCCTGTCCCCTCACTCCGTAGCGGTGCAGTCTTTTCGCTTTATTGTATTGTTCGTCAGACGCACAAACAATCTTCAGACGCACAAACACACTTTTACCTGTTACAAGGGTAAATCGGGTAAAAAGAAATGTCGTTTTGACATACCATTCTTTCCTATGCGACGAACAATCATTCTTGAGCCGTTGGACGATGATTTCGACCCAGAGGAAGGCAAAATTTTAAGAAAGAAACGGGAAGAAATTCAGGTTAAACTCATGCAAATTCACAATGATAAAGAGAGGTTTACTTTCAACAATTTCCTTTCCTTAATTAATCAGTCGGAGGCAGAATATTACCAAGTGATTCGCAGTGGGCTCAGTAGACCAATAGTATTTCCAAAACGACATGTTCACGAAACAATGATTAATCCGTACAATAAAGAAATTCTCAAACTTCATCGAGCCAATATGGATATACAATTTATTTTAGATGCCTACTCTTGTGCCAGTTATGTTTTAAATTATGTTAACAAATCAAAAAAAGGCTTATCGAAATTATTGTATGATGCCATGGAAGAAGTTAGGCAAGGCAACCTCTCGCTAAAGGAAAAATTTAGATGTTTAGGCAATCACTTCCTTAATGCTAGTGAATTCTCTGCGCAAGAATGTGTTTATTATATCCTTAGTATGCCCTTGTCATGGTCAAGCAGAGACTGTATTTTTGTCAATACAAGTCATCCCGATAAGCGGGTAGCAGTGACAAAATCAAAGAGAGAACTGAAAGACCTCTCCGATGACTCCACAGACATATTCACAACCACTGTTTTAGACCATTATATCCAGAGGCCGGATGAATTGGAAGCGCTTTGTCTAGCCAAATTTGCGAGCCTTTATAATTACCGAAAAAATAGGCCCCCACGGAATTCAAAAAGCATTGTAGCAGCCAGTCACCCAGAGTTTAAAGTTCCCGCCAGAGTCAGAGTCGAGAGAGCGGTGGGAACAACAGCGAACCTAGTGAGACGAGAGAGAGAGTAGGTATCGTTGTCGAGATCGTGATCGCGAGCGGGTCGCATTTCCTTCTTGTTTCAAAGATGTAAGTTTCTTGTTTTTGAGTTCACCCCTAGAAGGGGTGAATTGCCTTCTTTTCCGTTTTTCGTTCAAATGTCTTAGTGTCGAGTGTGGAGTGTGCGGGGTGGCCGCCGGGCCATTTCCTTTTCATCCTAAAAGTGTTTGTCCTCCTTTGAAGTCATCTTTCCGGAGGAGCCACGAAAGCTCGTTCCGGCTAGCCTTCGTGGCTAGTTCGGAAATTGTAGTAGTAGTCCCCGAGTTCTGAGCAGTTCAGCATCAATGAGGATGGGTCTGGTGATGAATGGGATTTTGAAATAGAGGAAGGTATAGTCAATAATGTGTGGTTGCCTTTGAAAAACAACTGCGGTTTCATTAGAAAGCGAGAGATCGGTAAAGTCATTAGGTACGTTAGATTCAATAAAGAATGCCATGAAGATGACTATTACAGAGAAAATCTGATGCTTTACCTTCCATGGAGAGATGAGAATACAGATTTAATAAATGTCAATCACTATCAGAAATTTGTTCAAAATTTTGAAACCGTCCAAGAAAACAAAAAATTCTTTGTATTTTCGAATGATTTAGAGGAACACTTATTCCAGGCGCTTTTTGTGGAAAATAACGGCATGGTACAAATGGATGATAATTGCACAAATATACAATCATCCTCCCAGAATGAATTTCGCGTTTTTGGTGCTGAGCATGCAGCTGGAGATATATTTATAGACATAGGTGAAAATCAAGCATCATCAGAGAATAAGAATACAGAGAATAACCGGTGTGATGATGTGTATTTCCCTGTTCCTTTCGTAATGAACGACATTCAGTATCGACAAATAGTCACTAGTTTGAATGTTAAGCAAAGAACATTCCTTCTTCATGTTTTACATGCTTTTAAAAGTGATGAGTTACCTATCTATAACTGTGTTTTTGGAGGCGCTGGCGTTGGCAAATCATGTCTCATCGCTGCCGTACATCAAAGCCTCATCAGATATTTTAATTCAAAGCCAGACACATCATTAGATCTTATTAGGGTTCTGCTTTGTGCCTTCCCAGGGAAGGTGGCCCATCACATTAAGGGCATCACCCTCCATACAGCTTTCATTCTACCAGTGACACAGTTTAGTGGAGCATTGCCGTCACTTAGTAACGCAACTCTAAGTACCCTCCGATGTAAGCTGCGAGACTTAAGAGTTATTATTGTCGATGAAATAAGCTTGGTAGGCAGTCGGTTACTGGACCAAGTAGATGCAAGGCTAAAGCAGATTTTCGGAACTGACCTGCCTTTCGGAGGTAAATCTGTCTTGGTTCTGGGTGATTTCAATCAGCTGGGACCAGTTGGTGATAAATATATTTTTAAAGGCAATTCTTCGAACCCGTACAGTTTGCTCGTTGGTAATCCTTTGTGGGACCTCTTCCATTCTTTTGAATTAACTGAAATAATGCGGCAAAAAGATGATGCAGTATTTGCCAATGCCTTGAACAATCTCGCCAACGGCTCTCTATCTGATGAAGAAGTTAAATTATTCCAATCTAGAGAAACTCAGGCCAGGAATATTCCGTCTGATGCAATTAATTTATTTCGTAACAATGCTAATGTTGACTCGTTCAATGAAAACGTTATAAAGAAATCAAAGGCGGATATCGTAATTGCCGTGTCATCTGACACTGTCACTGGTCAAGGAACTGAAAAACTTGTCGATAGAGCTCTGTCAGCTGTTAAAAATTTACCCGCTAGGAAAACCGAGGGCCTGCCAACAATTCTCAAATTGGTGCTAAAAATTAAGTACATGGTCACTGTAAATGTGTGTATTCCTGATGGACTAGTAAATGGGGCCATAGGGACACTGGAGCATGTTGAGAAAAATGAAGAGGGTGCTCCCACCAGACTTTGGATTGACTTTGGTGATAGTGAGGTCGGTAAGGCTGCACGCCAAGCTGTTCAGTGGCGGCCACCTGAGGTCCTCAACAATTTGACTCCACTTGAGAAACAAGCTCGCCGTATTCACCCTCTACCAAATGCTATTATCAGTGTCGTACGGAAACAATTTCCTCTTGTACCGGCAGAAGCCATAACCATTTGTAAATCTCAAGGAGCTACCTACTCCAAAGTCGCTGTATATATAATTTCTGGGCTTAAAAGAAATGAGCTTTATGTTGCTTGCAGTAGGTGCACTTCATTATCAGGCCTTTTCATAGTTGGTACTTTTCGTCCTCCTAGTGCTCCAGGTCCCTATGATGAGGTGCAATTAGCGATAAAATCTCTTCGACGTAAAAAAATTAAATTTTCCTGTCTTTTTGCTAACAATTTCCCTAGGAACAGAATCATATTGTATCACAATGTCCAGAGCTTGAATGCTCATTTTCAGGATATTAAAAATGACCTAAATTACCAATGCTCGAACATTCTGATTTCGGCCGAATCTTGGCTAAAACCGACAGACTTTCCAGAATATCCCAACTTCTATGTTGTTGGAAGACAAGATGTGTATCGGAATGTTGCGCATGCACATGGCGTAATTGTATATGCCAAACTTAACGAGGAATGTAACATTATTTTCGAAAGTTCATCAGAAGAAAAGGGTACAGCTCACAATTTATTTGTGTTAGTCTATGAGGATTATGCAATTTGTACTGGCTATATACCTCCATCAACTTCATTTTCTGTGGTGCAATTACATTTTAAGGAAATGTTGACTTCAGGTTTTGAGGCGTCCTCAAAAGTAATTTTAATAGGTGATTTTAATCAAAATATTGTTCAAGAATCGCAAACTCTCTTTTCCCGATTTCTGAGTGAAACCTATCCAAATCTGGTAAACTGCATTGATA